TCAAGTGGTCTTTACCTTGATAGTTAGAAAATGGTGCCCGTTGGCAATGTTTAGACCATGAAAATCAGCCAGTACACAACTGCTGCTCTCACACTGGGTCTGAGCAGCATTCCACAAGGAATGTAGAGATTGTAGGAAGGTTCAAAGCAACTTACAACAACAGTGCTAACCCAAAATAAGCCTGACAGTGAATGGGTGGGCAGCCCTGCTCCCTCTAATGAACTATTTCAAGAGAATTTCTAACACAGTGAGTCGACTTCACAGATCTGGAAACAGTAAAAAGGACTGCAGAACTAATCAGTTTAACTGTTTTCAGTATCACAGTGTGAATGCTGGCCTTCCATTATGAGAAAATTAGCAGTATTATAAAATATGCTAAATAAATCACTGTATTACTGCAGGAGAGCGAGGATATTGAGGGTGGGATTAAGGAGTTTGAGTTCATTAAGCAAACATCTAATGGTCCTGAATCTGAACTGCATATATAAGTATGAAGTTATAATATGTTGTATTAAGCTGATAGTACATGTATGATGAATCTTTTAGCTTTGTTTACTGAAAAAGCTGGAAATAATAAAATAATGACCAATCTAGGAACATGGGGCATCCAAAGAACCCAGGCAGCTGTACCCAAACTTCAATTCCTAATTTCTATTTCCCACTAGATACAATACTTTGTAAGAACTGTCTTATTACAGATCTGGGTCAAGGAAAGCACAGAACGTTGGAAGGGAAAAAAATACTATTAAAGACAACTGAGATGAAGTCACTGGGCCCCAGGAGCCCATTTGAGGATGTCCTCTCTGTCCAAAGACAGAGAAAAATGCTGAGCAATAACAAAATTGTCAAGGATTGCATGGAAATGCATTTAAATCCATGAGTTCATGGTGATGCTTAAATATTCACACACAGACACTGGCCAGGCCCATCTAGATTAGGATGCTAAGAAGAAAAAACCCTACTTTTCACGCTGGTGAATGCAATTCCCTTTTTTCTTCTTTTTCTCTTTATAAACTGTACCCCATGATAACCAAACAGTTGGTCAAGACATTTTTTTTTGCTCTCATATATATTTTGGCTGATGAATTAAAAGAGGAAATTATAAAAGTTACATACATACCAGCATTTTGCAACCTATAATAAAATAATGGACCAGGGTAATCATCCATGTCTAATAACACCAGAGACAACCAGCAGCAACTGAGGGCCTCCTGACAGAGACACCACACTGCTCTTTCTAAAGTAGCAAAGTGTTCTTGACAAAGAACAGTTTTGCTTGTACGTGAATGCATTTATCTCAAAAGTGCATCACATCAGCACTCTAGATCTAACGTCCAACCAGCAGAGGCAGAGTGTAGGTCGGTGCACAGGCCTGATGACTCAGCTTTTCAACAAACTGCTAGTGGGAAAGAAGAGATGGGGATAAGCAACCTATTAGTCAATGGCCCCTTATGAACACTATTGGAACAAATAATAAACCAACCACTAAAAATTGCACGAGAGTATGTGTTTATAATACACACATAGCTATATATACACACACACATATTTATACATATGTCTCTACATGTATGTACTGTACCTAAGAGGTAAGTGGGGAAACATGAACTGCCACTAAAGTGTCTGACATTATTGAGAAATAACTATTTTTTTAGTATGAGATTTTTTTAAAATTTTTTTTCTGTCTAAATCTATTAAGATATGAATAGATGAATTAGTACCATACGTATGATTTGTTTCAAAATTTGGAGGGGTAGGGATGGTGGGAGGAGACTGAGTGATCGTGAGTTCAGACTAGGTGATGGGCCATTCCCTGTTTACAGATAAGATCAAATTTTTCTATAATAAAGCTAAAAGTATGAGCACAAATCACAAAAAATGAGGGAGCTAACGTGAGAAAGATTTTAAAAACATGATCAGACCACATGTTCCATCTCAGAGTCTATCACAGCTACTTGCGGGACTTCCGCCACCTAAATCAACTCCAAACATTAAGCGATCTGTGTCATATCCCGAAGGAGTGCAGCAGTGGGGAGAAGCTGAGAACCACTGTGTAAACCCCCCAAGGACAGGAATGTGCATCACTCACGTGGTGGTTACCCAGTGTCTAACATTTAAGAGGTACTCAAGAAATAGTTGGTGAATGAATGAACGACCCAAGGGACGTAACGGCAGCTAACTGCTACATGTGCAAAACCAGCAATTCATATCTGATATGGAAACCTCGGGGCTCACTGGGCTGAGAGGGCAGGGCCTTCTGTTTCAGGTAAAATAAGTTTCCTTCACACAGCCACACAGCACTCAGTCTGAACAGCTACAAGGAAACACCCAGAATAAAAATAGTTTCATACCCACAAGTAGGTGTGGGTGTGGCCAGCAAATACTCCGATTCTACAATCTGTTTTGGCCAGGCAGTGCTTCGTCAGTGACTAACAAAGCAAACGGTAGGCAGAGCCCATGGGCTGAAATAAGCGCAGTGTTTGCCAAAAGGGCTGACTGTCCAGTTTGCCCGTAAAACAGCGCACTTCTCAAAGCTGGGGAGCACAGGCAGAGACAGTCACATATAGTCAGTCACACCCCCCCAAAGAAGGCATACAAACACCAGCACGAACCCCATTTTTCTTTTTCTCTAAACATGAAACGGGTTCTGACTCTAGGGAGGCAGTAGGAGATTAGAAATCTCTTAGTACAAAGGTTTTGTCGTGTTGGTGAAAAACCAGATGGGTAGAAATGCTGAGGAAGAAGATCTGAAAAGATGAGGTGCTCCCACAGCTGGACACACTGCAGAAGGCCAGATATCTGAGTCTATAGCTGAGAACCACTCTGCTGAGCGTTCACAGGAGGGATACCTAACCAGACAGAGCATGGGTCTCGAGCCTGAGCACAGGTGTGGAGGTGACCATATAAACACAATTACCGAAGATGTGTTTCCACAGTCTTTCTTCTAGCACTGAGTTTTAACATGTAACCTCCTAGTTCAGAACGGTCTCCACTGAGCATGTGTAGAGAAGGGTGGCTTGATTTCTCACTTACCTTTTGTGGTTTCTCAGATGCAGCACAGTTTATATTACTGTAAAAGCTATTTTTTATATGATTTCTAAATGATAAAATACACACTAGAATATCAACTCTCTAGTTCTCCTAATAAATCTAGACTGATTTTAAAAAAAGCCATATTAAAAACCAGGTAAGGTGTTACACTTCTGTATTCCCAGTGCTTGTGAGGCTGAGTCAGAGGGACTGTTGTGAGTTGAGAGGTACCTGGGCTACGCATAAGGATAAGGCTAGCTAGGGTTCTATACTAAGACCTCAATGAACAAAAGCAAAACTTCTAAAAAAGTAGTGTTTTATAGGTACCTGAGCATTACATAGAAACGATAGAAATTACGATAATGCAGTTTTAAAAAATGTTATTATTTATGTGTGCATGTGTGTGTGTGTGTGTGTGTGTGTGTGTGTGTGTGTGCCTGAGTGTATGTATGTGCACCTCACGCATACAATGCCAGTAGAAGTCAGAAGTGGGGGTCAGATCCCAGGGAACTGAGTTAACAGGTGGTTGTGAGCCACCATTTGGGCGCTGGGAACCAAACCCAGGTCTTCTGGAAGAGCAGCCAGAGCTCTTAACTGCTGAAGCCATCTTTCCAGTACCACAATGACATCAATTGTTAAATGTTGCAGTGAGCAAAACATTTAAAAGTAAGAAGGGAGAGGAAGAATGGATTCTGCATTTGTCTTTCAACAACTGTACACGGTTTTGCTCAAACACACACAGGAAAAGCCCTGTCAGGGGAAAGGGGCAAACTTATTCCATCTACTCACCAGTCAATACTCTAGTCACCAATCAATCCTCAGCACACACTGCTCTGATTCTAGCTAGATGCAGCAAACGATGGATTCATGCTCTGTACCGAATCTGCTCCAAGCCCGCTCACCTGCACAGCTGATTTGGCCCCGAACCCAAATGACAACATTAAACAGGATGCAGTTGGTCTCAGCTCCGTGCTATTTCTCAGGATCCTGAAAAGTGATGCTAAGTTCTCTAAGGTTGTGAGAGAGAAAACCAAGGGCCAGAACTGACGGAGATAATGTTTACTTCTCTGGGAGAAAAAGGTACCTAATCTGGCTGCTTCAAGATCCCTAGGAAACTGCATCATTAGTCAAACTTATTTTTAAAAAGCTGAGTTGGAAGATCTTTTTCCTTCAAAATGAATACAGCAATTTTATGTAAATAAACATATTATAGGATTATCAAATTAACAGCCTTTCAACTATAAGGTCGAAGGAAAATTTAAGGAGGAAAATCTAAAGACACTTATTGACGTTTGTGTAGTTATGAATAAAGAATTTAAACTCTCCAGGGAAATTGAACATCTAATTACCATAAGTCCAAGATGTCTTGCACTTGTCTCAAAATTTAATAATATTTAAGAAGAAAATATCTGAAACATTTAATGCTATCTTTTCCCTGTATTAGCCTCTAAAAGCTTGTCCTAAAATCCTGATATGCAAAACAGTATACTTACATTTTCACCATTAGTTTAAGCCCCTCAAATGAGCAAAAATTCGGGTCAGCTACTTTTATAAAACCTTCTTTTTCTAATAACTGAAAGATTACCATGATGATTTAAATCCATATTCTCCCTAAAATAACTCTCATATTTTCCTACCGAATATTTTCAATCAAATAACACAAGAATGTACTTTTTAAAAATAAAAAGGGCAAATCATCATTCCATCATGAATCAACACCAGGGTCAGAACTCCTAAAGTGAAATACAGAAAAGAAAAAATGGTGCATAGTTAAAGCTATTAATATATATCGAAGACAAAAAGTTTATTTTTCAATTAAAAAAAAAAAAAAAACAAACAAGGAGACGAGAACCCAGCCTGATTTTGTATGCCTGCCCAATAGGACTCTCCACCATAATTAGTGCTTACCACCCCTGAGGGGCGGAGCTTAAGCTCAGGGTAACCTCATTCAATAAGTGGGGGAAAAAAAAAACAGTATAAATACCCCAGGGCAGCTGTGGGAGGACATCATCCACTGCTCACCGGGCAGAGGAACCAGGAAAGCTGCCCATACATCTCCAGAAACTCCTAGCACCAGGTAAGTCTAGACCAAGGATCACTGGGAGATGTCCCTGCCAGGTGGCTTGGAAACATACTTCAGTCAATTATAGACATCTTTGTATGTGTGCATGATTTTAAAAAGTGGCTTTCTACCAAAAGGCACCAGACAGGTTTGTTTGTAATTATCTATTTAAGATATTCTAATAAAAAGGACTGTAAAATTTGCCTTAATGTGAATTTCAATGTATCTTGAAAGTTCTCGCTATTTCAGGTTAGTTATGTCAAAGATTCTGGATCATTTAATACAGTCATCTAGTAATGAGATTATTTGGTGGGGGTCATTTTATTTTTAGAGTAGTATTTGAATGCAGCGTCTCAAAACTAGCAAGACATATATATTCATTTAACAAAAACTTTCCTATTATTTTATGCAATATATTCAAAATATAAAAGGTCAGCCATACAAAAGAGATAACTATATAACAAATCAATCTGCAGAACATCACACAAATAAAACAGGTCGGGCATGGGGCTACGTATAATCACTCTCTTCTGGTTTGCAGACTCCGTCTGAAAACATGCTGCCACAAATAGCCTTTCTGCTGCTAACATCCTTGACCTCAGTCCACGGAGTGTTTTATGCCGAGCGATACCAAACTCCCACAGGCATAAAGGGCCCACTTGCCAACCCCAGGACACAGTTCTTCATCCCATACTCCGTAAAGAGTAAAGGTAAACTCAGCTGCACATTCTGCTCTTCTAACCAGAGGGCTAGTGTTTTCAAGTATTAATGATGAACTCCTTAACAAAATACTTTACAGTCTGTTCTTCTTCTATTTTAAATTCTTGGTTGGCTCAAGTTACTACAACAAACTGATGTGTGGAAAAGACGAGTCTTTATAGAAAGATCACATCCTGGAGAGTTGGCAGAGGAGAAAGACACACCTGAGAAATATCAAAGGCTATGTATGGAGCCAGCTTTTTCCCCCTTTCAAATGATGGTTTCATACAATTAACTAATTACCCAGAATCTAGAAATATTAATTCGATGAAATTAAGTTAGTTTAAACTAAGAACCATTTCATAGACTAGGAATTTTATGTATCTAATTTCTTCAATGTTTACTTAAAAAACCCAAGCCTGCGGATACTAAAGAAAACTGGTATCAAATAAAACCAGACAGCCCTCAATAAACCTAGTGGGCAAAGGAAGTAACAACTCCCATACTGACTTACATATTCATATATAGTGCACTGGTTCAATGTCCAGACATAACTAACTGCTAAGTGCTGGCTGTGTGAGCTCAGAGTCCCAAGGACTGCTGTGAAGTGTAAATGTGTCTACATCTGCCGAGTGTGCACATCCACTCACTGCTTTCTCTTCTACTTCTCTACTGGGACAGCCTGAGACATTTGACCTTTCCTCTGAAATCTAACCTCACCTATTGGCTTTGTTACTATGAGGGATCCCGAGACAGTGCATGTGAAATAATATGACATTGTCCAAGAAGGGCAACAATCAGGCCGTATCTTTGCTAATTCTATCTAACAGATTTAGACACGACGACTACTGATAATACAAACTGTTTTCAGATTTCATTTTCCACAGTATTTTTCACTTTATTCATGTATTTTGCCCTGCATAGAGCAAAGGCATGTGTTGTAATCTTTAAATGGTACAGTTTTAGAGAGAAACATTTTGAAAAAAATCAAATGTTTAAGAATGTCTTTTTAAAAGAATTAAGCATTTCATGAAAGGTAGCTTAATATTTAAAAAGTACGAGAGATACACTTGACTGTCTGATAACATACATAAATTGAGGAAAAGATAAAAGCTAGAAGGAAGGAATAGAAGACAAAGTTACTCCACCTGAAAGCAGTGAGTGTAGTTTGAAATGCCAACAGGCAGAACGGGTTTGGCACTTGGACCAAATTCAGACTTTTTAGTACAAAAAGTATTGGATTAAGAACAAACACACCACTGTTAGAAGGTTAAACATGTCCCTGTCTTCCCACCGAAAACATACTGCTCTTCATCCTATTGTTCTTACAGAACACATGGAGATATCTTAACAGATACAAAGCAGAGCAGCTCTATTTTAACTCTTAAACCACCGTGGTCTCTTTCTGATAATGAACAGTATTCCCACCCACTGCCAGGCATCTAACACACACACACACACACACACACACACACACACACACACACACACACACACACGCCTAACCCAGAGGGTTCCTATGTAATCTCTGGGCAAATCTGCTCAGCACAGGCTGACGGAGAGAACAGCTGAAGCTCATTCAGTTGTGCAGTAGGGAGACTACTCCACCATGGTGCAGCCTGAGGACACTTAAGAACCTTATCAGAAGGTAGCTGCTGTTCCTGAGGGATGGTGCTCCCTAATCTGACTTTTCTAGACTACAAACTGATGGCTATCCCCCAAATACTACAGAAGCCAGACTCTTCCTTGCACTGAGAGGTTAGGATCCTAATAGCAACAGTCCAGGCTACAGAGATCATCACCCTGTCCCTGGAGGTCAAGTTTCCAACAGTGTCTGGGGCTATCCTTTCCAGTAAGACGAGTTTGCCCCCTTTAACAGTAAAACATATTTCCATAATCCATGACAATTATTTTTTATATAAAGATGATCCTTACAATTGGAAGGTGAAGTAAATTCTGCATTTGAAAACTATGCTATTTTACTCCAAGCCATTACAAATCCCTTACTTATCAATTTATTTTTTGTGTGAAAGTGTATACACACATATCATGGACATACACCAAAGTTAACATCAGGAGTCATCTTTGAGAATATTACTAACTACTGTTGGTTGACTGCTTTGTTAAGTGCCAGAGATTTAACAGGGGAGATTTTTTTAAAAATTAATGTACTTGCATACTAATAACTTATGGCTAAAGGGAATGATATTCTTAAAAATGTGATCAATAATTCTATAATTTAGAATTGTTAATAAATATCCCCTAGTCTCCATTTTGACTTTTCAAACCATTAAAGTCTTAAGAGTTTACCATATTAAAAGTTAGGTAAAAAGTGATAGATATATAATTAGGAGTTTAATTATATATCTATCAGTGGTAGGGCACTCATCTAGCACGAAGGTTCTGGTTTTGAGATCTAGGAACACACACACACACACACACACACACACACACACACACACACACACACGATAAATAAGTAGATCACAGTTGAACATCATTTTTACAGTTTTGAGCTATCTACTGCCACATCTGCTAAATCAGCATTACTACGAACTGCTTTTCAACAGTATAAAAATCTAAAGGTTTCTGAAAACTTATATAAAATAACTTAAATAAAAATTATACAAGTAAATATTTAAAAATAATCACCTGCAATTTTATTGACATCTTTACTAGTTCTATTTAATTTCTCTGAAAAAAGAAAACACTTTGTGTGACATTTACAATAACTACTGGCAATAGGCACAAACAAGCATTGTCTTCATGACATATGGTAATGTCTACACTGCAGGCTATATCCCACCATGGAGGGGCTTCTTACAGTAACCATCACACTTGATCCTTGAGGCAGGTCACATTCTGTGCTCCACCACCGTCTCTGGTCCGATAGCACATTCTGTCACAGGCACTGAGTAAGGGGCTACTGAAGATGAGTTTAGCACACCAGGAAAATGTTTTGGTTAAATGAATCCACAGCGTTATGAGATTAAGCCACATTTACTATATTTTGATCATCACTTTGAAACTATTCTATGTGCCTTATCAATGCATTATGTCTAGTCCTGCCATTCTTTGCTTCAATTTTAGGTCAGTAAAGGAGAACAAAAGCCCAAGTATATACTGAGGTTGACAGACAATGAGTCTAGATCTAAGCTGTTTGGTAGGACACGCTGATCAGGTCTAAGGCTCTCGTCTCTCCCTTAGAGGATAACCTAAGTGAGGCCAGACTGCTTAGTTCTTCCTTTTCTTTCCTTACCTTCCTAACCAGATGATCTTCCTAAGACAAACGCCATCAACCCACCTCCATGCTATGTTTCCCTTAGAGGGATTCCTCAATCCAGTTTATTTACATTGCCTCATTAGGGTGAAAGAGGCATGGTAGCCATGGCTTTGTGAAGCCACCTTCTCTAGAAGTATCTGAACAAATACAATACCTGTACCATCCAACCCCATTGAAGATGGTTGTGTGGAAGATTTTTCTGGTGTGCAAAATTACCTCACTCTGCGCTCTGGTTGCGTTTAATGATGCTGATGTTGAGTGGTATGTTGGTGTGTCTTACAGGAATCACAGTAAGAGGAGAGCAAGGCATTCCTGGTCCACCAGGCCCACCTGGACCCCGAGGACACCCGGGTCCCTCAGGACCTCCAGGAAAGCCAGGCTATGGAAGCCCTGGGCTCCAAGGAGAGCCAGGGTTGCCAGGACCACCAGGAATATCAACCACTGGGAAGCCAGGCCTGCCAGGCCTGCCAGGCAAACCAGGGGAGAGAGGACCATATGGACACAAAGGAGACATTGGACCAGCTGGCTTACCAGGACCTCGGGGCCCTCCAGGACCACCTGGAATCCCTGGCCCAGCTGGAATTTCTGTGTCAGGAAAACCTGGGCAGCAGGGACTTACAGGTGCCCCAGGACCCAGGGGCTTTCCTGGAGAAAAGGGGATACCAGGAGCCCCTGGTGCGAATGGACAGAAAGGGGAAACAGGATATGGTGCTCCTGGCCGTCCAGGTGAGAGGGGTCTTCCAGGTGCTCAGGGTCCCATAGGACCCCCTGGCCCCCCTGGAGTGGGAAGAAGAGGCGAGAATGGTTTTCCAGGACAGCCGGGAATCAAAGGGGACCGGGGCTTCCCAGGAGAAAGGGGACCATCAGGGCCACCAGGTCCCCAAGGGCCTCCTGGGAAACAAGGGCGAGAAGGTATTGGGAAGCCAGGAGTCACTGGGGCCCCAGGTCAGCCAGGCATCCCAGGAGAAAAAGGCCGCTCAGGAGCTCCAGGAATAGCTGGGCCTCCGGGAGCTCCTGGCTTTGGAAAACCAGGCTTGCCAGGTTTGAGGGGACAAAGGGGACCTGCTGGTCTTCCTGGGGCCCCAGGTGCTAAAGGTGAACAAGGACCAGCGGGTCATCCTGGGGAGGTGGGTCTGACTGGACCCCCTGGGAATATGGGACCCCAAGGACCTAAAGGAATCCCAGGGAACCATGGTATCCCAGGTGCTAAAGGAGAGGCAGGTCCAGTTGGGCCTGTAGGGCCACCTGGGGCTAGAGGAGCAAGGGGTCCCCCTGGGTTAGATGGAAAAACAGGGTACCCTGGGGAGCCAGGTCTCAATGGTGCTAAGGGTAACCCAGGGTTACCAGGCCCAAAAGGTGATCCTGGAGTGAGAGGACCCCCTGGTCTCCAAGGTCCTGTTGGCCCTGCAGGAGCTAAGGGAGTGCCTGGACACAATGGTGAGGCAGGTCCAAGAGGTGAACCTGGAATTCCAGGTGGCAGAGGCCCCATTGGGCCACCAGGTACCCCAGGATTCCCTGGATCTAAGGGGATCCCTGGAAACCCAGGTCCTCCTGGCCCAGCTGGCATAGCAACTAAAGGCCTCAGTGGGCCCACTGGTCCTCCAGGCCCTCCTGGACCAAGAGGACACAATGGAGAGCCTGGTCTCCCAGGTCCCCCGGGTCCCCCAGGTCCCCCCGGCCAAGGAGTCATGCCTGATGGTTTCACAAAGGCAAGCCAAAGGCCCAGGCTCTCTGGGACGCCGCTGGTCAGTGCCAACCACGGAGTAACAGGGATGCCTGTGTCTGCTTTTACTGTCATCCTCTCCAAAGCTTACCCAGCAGTAGGTGCCCCCATCCCATTTGATGAGATCTTGTATAACAGGCAGCAGCATTATGACCCAAGAACCGGAATCTTTACCTGTAAGATCCCCGGAGTATACTATTTCTCCTATCATGTGCACGTGAAGGGGACGCACGTGTGGGTAGGCCTGTATAAGAACGGCACCCCCACAATGTACACATATGATGAGTACAGCAAAGGCTACCTGGATCAGGCTTCAGGGAGCGCAGTCATGGAGCTCACAGAAAATGACCAGGTGTGGCTCCAGCTACCCAATGCAGAGTCAAATGGCCTCTACTCCTCTGAATACGTCCACTCCTCCTTCTCAGGATTCCTAGTGGCTCCCATGTGAGCACTTAATACCAAGCTCACAGAAATCCTCTGCTTGGAAAGGCTTTCCCCCAGCGCCATTACGTCCACCCTGGAGATGCATACGGAGGTCGGCTAAAAGTAATGTGAACAACTGAAATTGTCTAAAATGCACTCCGAGACCCGAGTTTCCTCCTGCAAAAGTGAGCAGCAATGGTGACTATGTGAGGACTCTCCTGAGCACTCTGCAATCCCAAAGCCCATGTGGGTTTCTGTGAATTCCCTTTTTACATAATTTTTACCGTAAGTTAAAAAAAACCCTCACAAAAACAGAAATAAGGTTCCAACTCACCATAAATTTCATTTCAGAAATGCAGCATTTTTTTAAAAGCCTGTTTTTAATAATTAATATGAGAACGTCTAGGAAACATGCAGGAAATATCACATCATTTTATATTATTTGAATACTTGAATATTCAAATTTAAATGACACTGTATACCCTAGGATATTTCTGATGGTGCATCACTCTACGGCTCATATAGCCCCTTTCATCAAGATAAATCCAAATGCACAGGTGCACGCACACTTTTTGAAACTCGCATAAGAAACCAAACTAATGTATTAACATGAATTTGAACTACAAGGTGCTTTGCCACAAGCTTTTCCAGCTTTTCTGCAATTGTGGAAAGTCCACATACCTGGTGCGACTTGGAAACAGATGTGTGACCTAGTCTGCTGTCTGCCACACAGTGTGATCACTCTGATTTAATTCGGCTGCATCTCTGTAAAATGATTTTAGGGCCTACAGAACATTAGCATGGGGTGCTTTCCATTCCAGTGAAAGCATAATTAACATTAAAGTTTTCAAAATCAGACTAGAAATGAAAAGACATTATTTATTTATGCTCTGTACTGTATTTTTATATTACTGTTTAAAACTGTTGAGCTGTACTTCACTTATTCAAGCACGGAGTACTCAATCTACTTGTTATTATAAAGCAATAAAATGTCATGAATAGATCTTCCTTCTACGCTGAGTTTACTTCAAAGCAACAAACCACGCTTTTCCTTGGATAAAGCTAATGAGAAAATAATGAAACACAGGGTGACTTCACAGTTGTCCTGGGTTCGTCCCTTTGTCAAGATGGACACGGCACACACCATGTACTATGAAGTAAAAAAAAAAAAACAAAAAAACCCCGCCACTCTGAGCCAGGACCAAGGCTGATGAGTAGACACAGGGAAATAAAAATACACAAACATCACTTTAAAACACTGTTTTTGTCTTGGTGGGAGAGAAGAAGGTGTCAGAGAAATATCAAATTGGAACAAATACCCTGCAATTATTATTTATGGACTTAGCACATTTTAGTCATAATATTTAGAATTATTTTGATAGCCTGATTTACTAAAAGGAAGGCATATAATTTTGGGGTGTCAATCAAAAGGCAACATATTTCAAAACTTAAAATCCTGCTGAATCCATCAGCCCACTTGTTAATCAAGCCAGTCTGACTCAGTCACTAGGGTAATGTAACATAAAGGCTTTTGACTCCTTGGAGTAAGACTCTCTGTAAACCTTCAGAGGAAAGCAAAAAGCCCTAGCTTGGGGTTGACAGTAACTCGGGCCCCATTCTGGGTCAACCACTCCTGTTCCTTAAACCAAGAGAATGGAAATTCTACCAGCGGGTACTTGGTCTCTCCGTCACTACTACACTGAGGGTTACAGCTGTCACCAGCTCCCGTTCCTAAGCCACGACACAAGGACTGTGACCTTCATTTGAGGGAGCATCCTCCAGCCCAGGAGAGCTGCACTGGGAGCACGTGAAGGCAGAGGAACAGACCGGCTGAGACTCCCGACAGCTACAACCATAAAGCAGAATGAATACAGGTACCAGAACTAATTGTAAACATTTTTATCAGAGCCCAAGTGAGGAGTAGAGCAAGAGAGGTAGTGTCTATCCAACTCAGCAGACACGGGGCGGGGCGTTGAACAAACCTCTACCAGGAAGCCCCTCTTCATGTTACTCACCCTTAAAGGCTGACATTTTAAAATTGTGTTGTATACCAGCAACTACATCCTTCCAAAAATCAAATGTTTTTTGACCTCTGTTCTGCTAAAAAAAGAAATTTCCAAATGTAACAAGTGCAGTAATTCTGTTTCTAAGCATAGTGGTAAGCTACAGCAAATAATTACGTGTATTGACTCTAAGGTAGGAATTCAGGTTTTAGAAAACATGACAGAATCAAAAACAGAAATGTTTCTCAAGCATTACTGCTACAAGTCAACATATAAATAAATAAACATCACTAAGAATTAATGCAGTTCATGTAGCCCAAATAAGGTAAAAATGTCCACTCATACAGCCTAAAGTTATAGAATCCTTAAACATACAAGAAATGTACTAAATCCATAGCTTCTGAAATAGCAGAATGTGCTACTTCATGCATGATGGTACCAACAGGGCCCGAAGCAGGGTAGTTCAGAACTCACTGTCCATTAACCTGCACTTCCACATGCAGAGCAGTAACTCACTGCAGGAGCAGGAGGAAGGTGCTAAGTCTGAAATGTAAATCATTTCATGGAGAACTTTCCAAGCTGGCAAAACAATTTACACTCAACTACACAACTCTACAGCCTTTTGCTTCATGGAAACATCAACAGTGTCTACTTTCTATACAAAAGAGATTCTCAGATATTTATATATAATTACGCACGCTACAAGACACTATAGGCTGATGAACTGGGGTAAAGTTCAGCAGTAGAGCCCTTGCCTGCAAGTGGAAGGATCTGGATCTGATCTCCAGGTCTGGAGGGGAGGAGAAGACTTGATACTTTTCCCCCCATTGTTGTCCGATAAGAGACAGACTCCACTTTGTGCTGATAAAAACCGCAATGCTGGGGATACTCTAGGCCCCGGGTAAAATCCCCAGCACCCAAACCAAACCAAAAACCTCTCCTGCTCAATGGAAACTTTCACGAATGCATGACTATAATTGCCATTTCAATCATAAGCCACTTATACACTGAATTGTGGTTTTCAAACACAATGGCTACAAAAAGAAAAGTAATACTGGCACACAAACTGAGTTATAGTCATAGGTCTTAAGTTTAAGTATAAACTGTCAAACTAGAGATTTACTTCATCTGAACAGTCACAAAGCAAATGATTAGTTAAAAAAATTGTTTCGTTTTCCTGGTTTGATATTTAGAATACATAAAGACACATGGAATTTTTCTTAATTATCTGTACTTTTTTTTTTTTTTTTTCTTGATCTGCTAATGAAAGCAAGAAAATATCTGTCCAGAGCCTGTCTTCTGTTCCCTTTCTCTAGACTATCACACCCCCTGCTGGGGAAGAGGGTGACTTTTGCCTAACCAAATATTTTTTTAAAGGGTACTGTTATTTACTTTTCCAAAACCATTTTTGACCAAATGTACCATGTATGCTTCCCTAGTCACTCTGAAACCACCCAAAGAAAACCAAGTGAAATCTCCGCTCCAAAGTTAATACATTAACGCCTCTTAGGACCAAATGCAGTGTTTTAAAACAGAGTGCCCACTCACCTTTGTTAAAGAGTCCACCACCTTGGCACACAGAAGAGCCCCTGGCAGGTCAAAGTAGTTATCATAGAAGTAACACTTGCCTAAAGCAAATAAACGGGAAAAAAAAAAATCAATGCTTCCTGCTTGCGGAAGAGAGAAAAGCTTGTCTGAGAAGCCTCCACTACAGGCTACCCTGTGTGCTGGGGGTGGGGCAAGACGTGTGAGTGTGTGCTGCGTGTCTGGAGTGGAGGCCAGACGACAGCCGGTGTCGTTCCTCAGGCACCAGCCACCACGTGTTTGTAAGACAGGGTCAGTCACTGGCCTGGAACTTGTCACGGAGGCCAGGCTGACTGACCAGAGGACACCAGGATTCCCTGTGTTTCCACCTCCAAGCACTGGGATTACGAGTGTAGGGGGCACCATGCCAGGGTTTTAAAATGTGAGTTCTGGGGATTGAAGTTAGGTCTTCTCTACCCTTTTTAATTTTTTATTTTGGGGACGTTTTACTTGTGTTACACATGTCCTTGAACAATGCAGCACACACTGGTACTGTTTGCTGGATATGGAGAGAACCGTCCATAGTGATTTCAGTGAAAAACCTATTTCGATTCAAATTAGCATTACTACAGGTTATCCTTTTTTCATATTTTAAAGGTTTATTTTATTTATTTTATCTTTTTATTGAGTGTGCCTGAGTGTTTAATCTGCATGTGTATATGTACGACATGGGTGCCTGGTGTCTGTGGAGGCCAGAACAGGGTGTCAGAGCTCCTGGAACTGGAGTTAGAGACCGTTGTAACCTGGCATGTGATCTGAACCAGGTCCTCAGCCAGAATAAGTGCTCTTAACTGCTGAGCCATCTCTCCAGTCCCCATCCTTATCTGTTGAGGAATGTTTACGTTCTACACTAAAAGAAAGTTGGAACAGGACATCTGTAAGTCAAGCATTTTATTAAAACATCTTTCAGTTGCAAAATGATATATAACCCCAAGACAATATAATATCACTATAAAATGCAATATGAAGAAGCCACACTGTATCACTAATGTCACATTTCAAAACAGTTAAAGAATCTGACATTGGAGTCCCATGAACTGTTCCCTAGAAGCTGCCCTAACACTTGTGCTGATGAACGCATAGAGAATACTGCATTCAACTTTCATGCCATTTCAGACAAACAGGAAAACTTGAGAACAGCCAGAGTAATGACAAGAATAAAAGTCATGTCATGTGAGGGAAGGTGGCCTGGATCAGAAAATCTCAAGAGTACAGGCAAGGACATTCCAGGGTCTCATGGGAGAAAAGGAGTAAGGTTTATTCTGTCTGGTCTTGGGGTAAAGTAAATCCAAGCCCTTCCTTGGGACATCTGTCACCTTTGAATTTCCATGTCCCAGGCCACACTTCTGCTGGTCCATGTCACAACTGAATCCAGCTGTGCTGCTGGGCAGCATCACATAAAAGACAGGACAGAGTCACGTGCTTTCTCCCAAGGCCCTGGAGTCACATGGTCCAGGTGGTCAACTCAACTAACAAGCAAGTGAAGTGGGCACCACAACCTCCGTCCTCCCCAGAAATCTCAGGGGAATCCGGAGCCTACTGTTCCATATTTATATAATATTTAATTTTACCAACCATATGCTCTGATTGTATTTTAATGTAAGCATAGTCTAATTGTGTTATGGAACCACTGGACCCTTCCCCCTTCATCCTTCTCTACACTTACACAATTTTATTTGTGGGGTGAAAGAAGGCTCAGTGGTTAGGAACATGCAGTGTTCATCCAGTAGACTGGAGCTTAGATCCCAGCACTCATGGTGGTTACAACCAAACACCTGTAACTCCTGCTCCAGACCTGACATCCTCCTCTGGCCTCTGTGTGCACTTAAACATTTTATTTCTTCAAAGAGACAGGCCTTCATTGTGTATCACAGTCTGACATGACAGGCTCTGCACTCCTGGATAGCAACTCTGCTCAACAAACCAGGTAAGATGAGACCAATTCCAAAATCACCACCAAGATGCTTACGGGAAACGAAGCAGCAGGAGCTGTCACTTCAAAGAAACAGTGCCCTCTGGTGGGAAAGTAGTGAAAAAACAAGCCTGCCATACCTGGGTACCAGCTCTTTCTCATAGCTAGGGACTATTTTATCTTTAAAAAATATTCCAGGTTTTGAATGAATTTCTAAGTGAAAGTGAAACACTTAGCTATGTGCATAGCTTTCCTTGGAAAAGGGAAGAACTTATTTAACAGGGCTTTTTGTCACTGGGAATTGAATGTATAACTTGACACATACTAGGCACACTCTACCAGTGAACAATAATCCCAGCCTGAGACAGCAGTTCATTATCATTACTTGGGAAGAAAGCTTTAGACTGAGATGCACAAAAGCATCCTATACTGAACTCTAAGGTACTGTCTTTTTTTTTTTTACACACTTATTTTGTCAAAAACACTCATATCTTCTAATACTTTCAACTCACCAGAAAGATTTAAACAAAGCATCCCCAAAGAAGGAAAATATAACAAGGCAGCACAATAGTAACAAATAAATGTTAACTATTTTCAGGTTACCACGTGACTGAAAGGAAACAGGTGCATTTTAACACTACAGTGTGGTAGAAGGAGCAGAGGGTTAAGGCAGAGAGAACAGAGAAACGGTGTAATTTTAATGAGGACTTCCTGTCTATAAAAAAAGATCTTACCCACACCAAATCAATCCATGCATACCTGTTTGGAAGGAGTCTGATGGAAGACCCACCTCAACTCCCATCTCCATTTCTTTCCCTAAACCCGCCCCTTCAAAGCCCGCCAAACACAGCTCCTCCCCCAGAGAGGCTCAAGACCACTCCCACAGGGTGTATAAGCGGCATCCCCAAAAACAGACAGGTGGTTCTTCCGATCTTGTCCCAGTCTCCTCTCTGTGGCTGGCAGGTGGGGGTGGGAGGCAGGGAATCACCTGGGAGCATTTTATCCATTAAACCTGGCTTTTCCTGACTCGGTCTGATTCAGTTTATTGAGACAGTGGAGAGGCCTGCAGGAGGCCTAAAACTTATTAATATCTATGTCAGTAAATAATTTCTGGAATATTGCTTCACATTTTGCTTTAGCGAAACTCTTTGTAGACTTGAGAAGAACGTGTGGAATCATTTTAAAATAAAAACCAGAGGCAGGAGACAGGGCTGTCAGTGAAGAAGCAGGGTCTAGGAAACAGGAGTGGCAGGCAGCGGAAATAAGAAGACCTGAAGACAGAAACAGAGGATGGTGCATGTAGCTGCCACACAAAGAGCCCAGCCCAGCTAAGAGATATATGGTCTCCAGGGTCAGTCATCTTGTCACTCCAGAACAAACCCGGGTAAAAGGAGATTCAATGGAACCTCTGTACAGCAGTGGAAACGTGGGAAGCCCACCCTGACCCCGTGCCAGACAAAACCAGACACACTTAAAAAACTCTATTGCTGCATAAAGCCAAGGCCATTCCTCTGGACACCCTGCTTGGCCAGAGGGACAGAGGCTGTTCCTTGTGTCCTCACACTGCAGGTGACAGGCCCAAAGGGAGGCAGAGTGGGTGGCAGCGGAGTCCTACCTGAGCAGCAGGGAATGTCGACGTTTGACGCAGCACAGTGCTTGTCTGTCACACAGTGCCTCCAGTTCTTCTGGCCATAGGCCTCGGCCAGCGCCTCCAGAGTCATCATCCTGGTGCCGTGGCTTGCCCTGTTGGGGAGGACTGCAGTGCTCACTGGCAGTTCCTGGACTGCCTCTTTGACAACACTGAGAATCCCGATCCCCATCCCACTGGAGTTAACATAGCTTTGTTTTCCTTTTCTCTTGAGACAGGATCTTGTTCTATAGCCCAGGCTGGCCTCAAACCTGTGATCCTCCTGCCTCAGCCACCCGAGTGCTACCCAGGGGCCACCAGGCCAACCACTGTCTTTCCTCTTGCATATTTGGTGTTCACTGGGTTGATCTCATCTGGTCTGGGATTCTAGAAGCACTTTATGGTTATAATACAGCAACCAAGATACTAGGCACTTGAGACAGAAAAGACTTGCCTAAGTAACACAAGTAGGAGCAGGTGAGTTCAAAGATCATCGTTTGGATGCTCTGGGGTTTCCAACACAGCTGTGGCGCTTCCCCTTTTAGTCCATCCACTCGCAAGTGACGAGGAGCTGCCCTCCATGAGGTCACTGCTGCAGTAGCCTCTGCCCTTTCCTAGAGAAGCTGTGGAGTCATCAAAAGATGAGGCAAAGCTGGTGTTGTGGTACATGCTTGGAATCCCAGATCCAGAGGGCCACAAGTTCAAAGCCATTCTGGAAAACTTACGAGACCTTGTCTCAGATGTAAAAGAAAAAGGAAAGCATTGGGGATGTGGATTGGTGGTAGGGAACTCACCTAGCATGTGTGTGGGCCCTGGATTCTATCCTCAATGGCACACACACAAAGCAAGAGCAAAATACATATTCAACTGGAACAATTAGGAGACAACCATGCAGACAGTGGGAAGGCTGACTTGGGCAGCAGTGAGGAAGAGCAGGTTAGAAGATGAACCACATCAGATCCCCAGGAGTGGTAGGCACCTGGCACCAAGGGCCTGTGAGGATAAGACTGGACAACCCACCCACACAAGGTTACATACATTGGATCAAAAAACACACTGGAAGCACACAGGAATGTGCCAAACAGACAGGATGAAGAAATAGCTAGGTTCTCTGCTCAGAAATCTGCTTTTCTCCACTAGAGCCTTGCTAGGGGACTCTCATCATGCAGATAAGTAGATAGTTGATATTTTAAATAGCTCATTATGAGAACATACAGTGTATTTCATTTTGATGAAATTATGAAGAAATGAAGGAAGAACAAAGAATATACATGGAGTTCTTTTATTTAGAGGCTGACCCTTCAGAATGCTGTGTCAAGGTGGAGGGATCCTAGGGAAACAAATGAGCAGACCAGAATTCACTGTGTGGGATGAAAGAAGCCATCAAGGAGAGAAAGCGTGCAAGAGAAACTTCAGGCTTTTAAGAAGTTGAATTCAGAGAGACAGAGACAGGGCAGACAGACAGATAGATGTTAACAACTAGAGAATGAGTGAAGACTGCCAAGAACACTACTAAGCTGACCACAGACTTACAGAATTAAAGGTAACGGATGTAGTATTTACATATTGCATACAGATAAACACACTCACTAGTTGCCTGAAAAAAAAAATAGGGAAACAAATTACAAAATAATAAGAGATAAGGCCATACCTGCTCCTTTTAGAAGTACCTTAGGGGAGTATCTGGGAGAAATATGAACATTAGAAGTACCTTAGGGGAGAGTCTGGGAGAAATACGAAAGCAGCCTGATTATTGAGCAAGTGATGTATCAGAAGTATCAAAAGAGGGAGTATTTACAGGGTCCTAGAGTGAGTCCTCTTTGTCGCTGACCAACTGGGTATAAATAGTAACAGCACACCTGCACGGCCATGCTGGTGTGTCCACACTGTTAGCACGAGGTGGGAAATAGATCTTCACTCCACGGTGCTTGCCCAGAGACTCAGTAGTGACAGCAGCTACTGACTGTTTCCCATAGCCTGATCAACCCCTGTGAGGGCTGCATGCACTCAGAAAAGTGGAACAGAAAGGAAACCAGAGCGTGCGGCTGATGATGTCCACGAGGAGCATGCATGAGGGAAACAAGTGTGGCCTGACGGGGTATACCCAGACTATGGCCTGATGGGGTATACACAGAACATGGCCTGACGGGGTATACACAGACCATGGCCTAACAGGGTATACACAGGCCATGGCCTAATGGGGTACACAGACCATGGCCTAATGGGGTATACACAGGCCATGGCCTAATGGGGTATACACAGACCACAGCCTAATGGGGTATACATGGACCATCAACCCCTACCCAGTACCCATCTGCATCTTCTTTATCAAATGATCTCTGATGCTAAGTACCTAATAAAAGAGGAACAGTGAAATATCCACGATCTTTTGAAAAAAAAGAAGAGGGTAGGTAAATGTCACAAGGCATGTCATTTCTACTGTATTTGCTGCAATATTTCTAAGAAGTGAAAAGTAATACAGAGCTGCTATCCTCCATCTGATTGACTAAAATAATAACCTTATCTTGTAGCTTAAGGACAATATACTAGTCATAAAGTACCCTGGAAGGAGTAAGACTCTGACCACAATGACCTCGGATTACCTGAGCACAGTGCCATCGGCTGCAAGTTTGATGAAGGTGCCATCTTCCAGATCCAATGCCAAACCCTTGCAACTAAAATGGAAAAGTCTGATTATCAACCAGCTCATGCATTTAGTGAACCTCAGAGACAAAAATCTGCACTATTTATTAAATGTTACAATGTTAAAAGAGATTTCCTCCGCACCTACATGAAGAACGTGTTTATCAATGAGAGAGAACATCCAGGAACTATAAAATTGAGTATCATTTAAAAATAGGAACATAAGGAAAAGTGTCAGGAGGCACAGGGTGGCATGTTCAGCTGATAAAGTCTTTAGGCTTTTGCCAAAAAAGATACGACTCAAAAGAAAATATATTAAATGAAGATTATCCTGTACCTTGTTAAAACATACAAATGTTTTTCATTATCGAAAACACGTGGGCAGGTGACATGGCGGGTAAAAGCTGACAACCTGAGTTCAATGCCCAGATCCATGGTGGAAGAGAGAACAGACTCCTGAAAGTTGACCCCAGACCTTCACACATGCACGCACACACACACACAAACACACACACACACACACACACACACACACACACACACACACACACACACACAAATAAACTTAAAACACATACAGACAGAAAGATGCACAGGAATATATACATCCACACACACTTATAATGCTCAAGCTAACCTCTCTGCCAGGGTGTTTTCTACGTTATTTTGAACAAACCTCCGTATAGTTCTACTTACAAAAACTTACCCTCTGGGCAAGGTATATTATTGAAAACCAGCAAAAGAAGGTCAAATACATGGGTTGGGGATTTAGCTCAGTGGTAGAGCGCTTGCCTAGCAAGCGCAAGGCCCTGGGTTCGATCCTCAGCTCAAAAAAAAAAAAAAAAAAAAAAGAAGGTCAAATACTAAGTTCTAGGTTCTTTATTATAAAACCTTGTAGGACCTGGATAAAATGTATAGATTCGCCGTTATGAACAATAATAGCTAAACAGCACAGTGGCTGACAAGCAGTGAGGCTAAACGAAATGAAAGGGCAGCTGGGCACTATTTACTTGCATTCACAACTCACAGTAAAACGCCTAGGAACAATCATTTCACCTGGTAAGAGCTTTCTGTTACTTCCCAGGACAGAAAGGATGCATCAAAAGACAAATCTCAGAGGGATGCACAATGCATGCTCACTCTGCATTTTATGTATTATAAATTATTTTATGATTATTAATTATAAACCAGGTGGTTATTTTCTGAATTTGTGTGTCTGTTTGCATACATGTTTTCATGTGTGTTCACACGAGTGTGCCTATGTGTAGGGGCAGCCAGAGGCCGACACAAGGCATCCTTCCATCTCCCCACCTTACTTTTCAACAGTCTCTCTCACTGAAGCTGGAGCTCCCCAGTTGGCTGGGCGGAATGGACGGCAAGGCCCCGGGACCCTCCTTCTGCCTCCCTAATGCTGGGGTTAGAGACGCCACTGCACTCAGATCCGTTCAGTTCTGTTCTGCCTTCCTTCCATGCCCCTTTCTCTCTTGAGAATTTTGTATATGTGCAGTGTGCTTCAATCACACTCTGCATTCCAAAGGCCCCAAGTCTTCCCCCATCCTCTCTATTATCTGCTCCCAACTTCATTTCTATGTTTTGCTGCTGTTGTTGTTGATGTTGTCCGGAGTCCACATATTTGGCTGGGTAGAGAGCCATCTACTGGTACCTGGGTAACCTCTCAATGTCCCATCCTTGAAGGAAACTGACCTTCTTCCCAGCAGCCATCAATTGTTAACAGTGCCTCAGCTAAGGTGGGATTTGGTGCCCAACGCCCTGCTCCATACTTGGATTTGATTGGGCGTGAGCTCACCCAGGATTTGTGCATGCTGTCATACCCTCTGTGAGTTGGTATGTGCGGCCACTCTGTTGTGTCCTGAAAGGTTCCCTTGCCGTCATTCACCACCTTTACCTCTTAGAATCTTTCCGTCCTCCTTTTGCAATGATTCCTGAGCCTTGGGAGGCACCCGGCTCCTTTTGCTTCTGTGGGCTCAGGACTAAACCCAGGTCCTCCGGCTTGCAGTACACTGACTGAGCCATCTTCCCAGTCCTAATTCATCTAAGAGACCAGGACTTTCTATGCTGCCCGGCTAACCCTGACGGGCATCCTCCTACCTCAGGCCTTAGGTAGCTGGAACTACATTCACACCTGCATGCATATGCTACCACACCTGTCTAAGCTGAACAATTTAAGTTGATGAAGCTTTTTTTTTTTTGCTTTTTTTTGTTGTTGTTGTTTAGAGGTCGAAAGACAAAGAACATCCTGTATGAAGTTAAGAATCATAAATCAGGAAGGGATGAACAAAAGAATCAGGAAGGAATATTTATTCAAACGCCCCAATTCAGTCACTTAAACATGATGACTCCTCTTTCACGGTTCTGAATAACAAAACAAACTTTCTCATATAGATATAAATTTTAGTTCTTAATAACTTCTCAGCCTCCTGTGACTGACTGAAACTACATATTAATATCCTACAAGTAGCCACAAGCTGAAAGCTTATTTTCATATTAAATAAAGTCTAGACATGTTTAAAGTACAAAAGACTTTAACGCATTAAACACAAGACTTTTAGCACAGAAGTTATTTTGTCCCTTGACTCCATTTCACCTTTCACCTTCACAGAAGGGTAAGCACTAAGATTTTACCAGCAACCATTAAGGGCCACAGGGGATGTAGCAAAAGGGGCTGGGGGACTTACCAGAAATCCCAGTCCTCTGGTGTCAGAGTGAGCAACTCCTTATCATACCCCTTCTCCTTGACTAAGAACTGAGCAAAGCTGTTATAAATGAGCTGCAAAGAAGGGAAGCAAAAAGAGAGATTAACCATGAAGTTCTATTCATTCTTCATTTCATACACCTGGAAACCTAATGGGATCGCTGATGGGGCCAGGGAGCAGGGCACTATCCATAACGGTGAAGTTCTGCCGCCGATTAACCCCCTTCCCAGGCGACTGGTCAGTCCCAAAGAGTCCTGAAATTGTATCCTGAGTACACAACTACACAACCCAAAACAGGTATCATCTTACACCCAGGTCCTAATGGATTGGCACTCATCATTAAGATCTGGCAATGCTCTGTAGCTACTAGACTATCACCCGGACAATAAGCACGCTGGCCATTCGATCCTCAGCTCTTGCTTTGGTCCATCAGTGCTAACAAAGGCCTGGGCTGACAGGAGACTCAGTGAGACACATCCAGCCAGGCAGGCAGGCAGATGAGTTAGGAGGGAACACGAGGCCTCTATCAGACACAAGGAGCCTTTGATCTGTCTGTGCAAAGACAACTAAGCACAAAGGAGGCGGGAAGCCTTTGGAAGACAGCACAGGTTAAACCAAAGCTCTCATTGTTGACAGACCTCATTTCTCAACAGCTTTTTTTTTTTTAAATTAAAATACCCAAATTTAATAAGCAGCTTGATGCTGGGGAGATGACTCAGTGGGTGAAGCGCCTGGGGCACAAGCATGAGGACCCGAGTTCAAATCCCCAGCACCCACGTAAAATCTGGGCATGACACCCATTTGTAACTGGAGCACTGGGGGTCAGAGAAAGTGGTTCTCCAGAACTTGCTGGTCGGCTGGTCCGGCTGAATCTGTGAGCCAAGTGCAGTGATTCACCACCACCTAGAAGACAGGGCAGAGCTGGTGAACCCAGGGACATGGAGAACCAGGCAGGTGTAGACACCGAGGGGCCTGCACTCTGCAGTAGCTGGGGTGGTGGGGGCTGGGTGCTAGGAAATGAGAATGGAGAAAACAAAGACTTCTGTCAAACAGAGCTGCTCTTTGTCTTAAAGCTGATTCAAAACACCAAGTGTGACTCCCGTCTAGTGCAGTGTGACCCTCATCCAGGTCACACTACTTATCAACAGTTCTAAATCATGGAGGTGATTCAGAATGGGTGCTGCCTCCTAAAGTCACTAGACTCTCAGGGAAGAGAGAGGCCCTGGTGGGCTCCTATATGATTTTTTTTTCCCTCTCTCTCTCTCTTTTTTAAAATAGGATCTCACTATGCACCCCTGGCTGGTCTGAAGCTAGACAGACCCACCAGCCTCTGCCTCTCTAATACCGGGATTAAAGGAGCATGTTCTCCACCAGGCTCAGCCCCTGCAGGATTCTTGAAGCCTGGGAACCACAGACATACAAGCTGAAAAAAATTTTAAAAACGTACTGAGTCACACCAAGGTTCAAAGTAACCAATCTGAGCAGTGACAGCTTATCTGTGGTGATCCTGCCTGCAAGGTTGGCTGCCAGCCTGGGGTTAACAGACATAAGGCTTAGAGAAGTACTTGGCACACAGGCAAATTCAACGGAAGCATTTGCTATTGTCATCGGTCCTGTGCTAACTATAAACCAACACCATGACTGACTGTAACACCTGCCCATTTCCACTGTATAAATATGCCTATCCTGCCAGCTCACAACACAGGTTTGGCTTCCACTAGAATCTGCCAAATAAAGAGTGACTAGGTAAATCCAAATGTTAGATTAATAGCAAATGGGTTTTTTTTTTCCCTTGAAAACAATGTTCCATATAATAGTTGGGGTGTTCATAAAAACCAGGAATGCTTCCGTAATTTGAAATTCAAATTGAACTGTGTGCTCTGTGTTTTAATTTGCTAAACCTGGCAACCCTATGATCCTGCTGTGTTGGAAAATGAGGCAATGTCCTGAAATGGGAAGGTTTCAAATTAGTTCAGATTTCCAGCTTACAAAAGCGAATTAGAAGACCTGGTGGGACGGAGCTGCTCTTGGTTAACACTGGAAAAACTGGCATGTGGCTACTCCTTCAGATGGGGCACATAGTCTCAGTGTCAGACACCCCATTCTCCCGAAACCGGTGAGTGGGTGTCACCTGACCTTTCAGTCTGCAAGCCCAAAGGACACAGGTGTTAAGTGTCATGTCCTCTGGGATGCTGTCCCTGCGGCCCTGGGAGAAGGGACACATACAGATCCACATTTGAGCAATCCCATGCACTCGTTAAATGCCCTCACCGAGAACATCCCCGAGTCCTCTCCAAGCCTCTGCAGTTCCCACTTTCTGAACATCTACCTCTGCTGTCCCCTGCATGCCCCATTCACCTGCCACCTTCCAGTTCCAACTCCATGTGGACACCTTGCCCTAGGCCTCTCCTCTGCAGTTTAAGAGTGCCTGGGTGTGAGACATGAGAACTCAAGCCTCAGCATCGTGCGCAGGGACCCAAAGATATCAGGATCTGCTGAGGACTTAACCGTTTTGTGCCCTGCGGTTAGGGATCCTCCAGAGGGGCTGTGATGCTGCTCCAGCTAATCTTGTCAGCTTGGCTGGATCTGGAACCACCCAGGAGACAGACCTCTATGGCTGTCTTTGAGGGTGTTTCCACAGAGATTTCGCTGGGGAGGTACAACATACTCTGAAAGAAGGTAGTATCGTCCCAAGGGCTGGGAGCCCAGACTGATTGAAAACTGACTAAAAAGCCGGTAGAGGGGTTGGGAGATGGCTCAGTAGCTACAGTACTTGGCATACAAACACCTGTAACCTTAGCATAGAGTGGCAGAGACAGGATTCCCCAGAGCTCCTCAGCCAGCCAGCCTAGCTGAAAAAATGAGCTAGGCTCCAGGTTCAGTGAAGAGACTCTGTTATAAAAAATAAACTGGAGGGGTTGGAAAAAAAAAGGCTTGGTGGGTAGAGGTGCTTGTGGCCAAGTCTGACAACCCGAGTTCAATTCCCAGATCCCCCGTGGTGGAAGGAGATAACTGACTCCACGTGTGCACACATCTCGTGTACACACACACACACACACACACACACACACACACACACACACACGCCAGCAGAGCACCAACATTTCTCTCTCTGCTTGCTGACTGTGATACAATGTGACCAGCTGCCTCGTTTCCTGCTGCTATGCCCTCATGGCCAGGATGGACTGAAACCCTAGAAACAATGAACCAAATTAAATCCTTCCTTAAGTTGCTTCTTGTCAGGGATTTGGTCACAACAATCAGAAAAGTAACTAAGACAAGTTCAACTTATCCACATAAGCAGAATGCGTATTAAAATCGTGGCTATGTGAATCCATAATCCCAAGTGGGGAGGGGAACGCAGGGACAGACAGCTCCAAAGGACTTGCTGGCCAGTCAGTCTAGGCGAAGTGGGGATTTCCATGTTCACGGAGTCGCTGTCTCAAAAGATAAGGTGGAGAGCAGGAGAGGAAGACACATGACATTGACCTTTGACTTCCACGTGTGTAGTACACCCCTACACACACACACACCAAAACAGAAAAAAGTGACTGTGTCATACTCAGCTACTAAAGTCCTTTAACTCCAACCACATCATAATTTACCGAGCCCAATGTGCTCAGTGCTAACTGGCGGGACACAGAAAACACTGTCCATCAGCCTGATGCTAAGAAGACTGGGCTTCTGGGGGAGGATTCCAAAGAGCACCTGGGAAATGTTAAAACCTTCTGCCGGGCGGTGGTGGTGGTGCATGCCTTTAATCCCAGCACTCGGGAGGCAGAGCCAGGCGGATCTCTGTGAGTTCAAGGCCAGCCTGGGCTACCAAGTGAGTTCCAGGAAAGGCGCAAAGCTACACAGAGAAACCCTGTCTCGAAAAACAAACAAAAAACCCAAAACCTTCTGGTGAGTGTTTGGTGAAGTTAGGTTTTCAGGAAAACTGGAGGTGGTGACCTGATACAGCTCACAGGTGGGAAGGGAAGGGCTGGGGGTGGCTTCATAAGGGAATGGTATGTAACCTGAGACCCCTGCATGAAGAAGAGACCCACTGTGAATCGGGCCTACAGCACAGGCAGCAGCATGCAGCAAGACAGCAAAGACTGCCCTCCACTATGAGGATGGAAAAGAACTTTACATCACCTTTCTGCTCACAGGCTGCTACCTGTGAGTGGTTCATTTCTGTGTCCCTAAAACTATGTCCCCAGTGCCAACATGCTGTGAGACTTAGGATTTCAACACCAAACATAATCTGAGCCTCACCAGGGTACCGTTTTCAGCCTTTAAACAGCACCGAGATTTAAAATTCACAATAGAATATCTTGGGGATCTTAGATTCTTTCATTTTTATGACCATACATGTTCTACCAAACCGGCTGTTAACATAGCAGTGGTTAAACAGCATTCCCTGTAAACGATGATGACCACAGTGCATGAGAAAATACGAACCAGACAGGGATCTGAAAGGCAAGGTAGGAAGGAAAATAATACCCAAAGATCTATCTGAAGGAGTAGCCAAAGGACCAAGACTTAAAGAAATGCCTGTCACTATGAGGAAGGACGTGAGATCTGTGTCACCGGCACGCAGGACAGTTCACCAGCCGGGAACACACACGTTTAAGCATCTGTATGCAGAAAACACACAAAGGACTCAGGAGTGTCCTTTTTGATTTTTGAGTGCCTGACCAGCTGGGGCACTGAGAGGACTCCACTGCACAGCACCGGCTGTTGACTGCACTAGTGATCCACAGCGCTACACAAATACTCTGGGTGCAAACCATAACAGCAAAAATTTTTACCAGGGACAAACTCTCGGCATGACACACCCACGGTCCACTTAATCCCAGGCAAGGGAAATGGAGAAGAAACCCAGGTTATTCGCCCAGCGTCACAGAGAGCGGGACACTTGGAGCTGGTGTCCCGAACTAGGTAATCTAGCTGCAGAGTCCTGCTTAGATCTTTCGCTGTAATACTGTTAATTCTTCAGTTTCTTGTGAAACCATATGATCACAGAAAGCAAGGCAATTAAGATGAGCGCAC